GCCCTGATTGGGAGCCAATCGGAGCCGCGTTGAATCGCATAGCACAGCATAGCTATGACCCATGGGTGATGAGTATAGCTGTGGGTGGTGAGACGATAAGACGATAAGACGATAAGTCTTGAGGCCCATTTTGGGGCTGTCTTGGACCGTCGTCGTCGTCGCGGTCGTCGTCACGTCACCGCCTTGCCGGAGCATCCCTCTTTATGGGGACGGGTTACCGCTTTATGTGACCAGGTTCTGCTGGGACCGTCGTCGTCGTCGTCGCGGCCGTCGTCATCCTCATGGTCGCAGTCGCGGTCGTCGTCGCGGTCGTCGTCACGGTCCCCGCCCTGTCGGACCATCTCTGTTTATGGGGGCGGCTTCCCGCTTCCTGGAAACAGTTTCCGCTGGAATCGTCATCGTCGTCATCGCCGTCTTTGTCGTCGCGGCCGTCGTCGCCGTCGTCGGCGTCGTCGCGAGTGGCCATGGGTGGCACAGCATAGCTATGTTCCATGGGTGGTAACTATAGGATTGAGTGATAAGACGACAAGACGATAAGACGATAAAGCGATAAGACAATAATACGATAAGCATTATCGCCTTATCGTCGTATCGTCTTATCGTCGGGCGAGGCCCTATACCGTCTTATCGCATGATCGTACTACTATCGTCCGGCGAGGCCCTATCTCGTCTTCTCGTCTTATCGTAGTATCGTATTGTATCGTCTTGTCGTCTTAGCGTCTTATCGTCTTATCGGCCGACTTTGAAATAACAGCCCCCGTTGCCCACCATGATGTATGCATGAGAGAGAAAGAGAGAGGGATATATACAAAAAATAAAAACAGCAAACAAAAAAACGTAAGTATTGACATATCGAGCGCCACGAAGACATATGGCTTCGCAACATAACTTTCAAAACATACACAGGACGATGGAGAAAAAAAACAAAACAAAAAAAAAAAAAAAAAAAAAACAAAAAAAAAAAAAAAAAAAAAAACGTTCGCGCGGTTGCCGGCTGTCACGAAAAACCGAAGCTTTCCAGGATGATCACTAAATGCTACCAAACCGGCCCCTCGCGCGCGCATGTCGAAATCGTTCGAACGCCCTTGCGCGCGCGCGCTGTCGCACGATCACTTTTTAAAAAAAAAACGACGTTGTGCACACGAGCGCGTCGTCGCGCGCGCATGCCGAAATTTTTCACAACCCTTGGGGTTCGTAAGGATTTCAAAAACGAATACCGCAAAAACATATTAAAGCACATGGCATTGCAACATCAGGTTCCAAAAGGCTTGCGCGCGCCCTTGCGATTTGTTGAGGAAAACCAGATACTTTCAACACTCTCATCAAATTCTGCCAAACAGGCCTTTGCGCCGCATGTCGAATTCATCCGGACGCCCTTGCGCGAGCGCTGGGGGGGGGCACGATCCGTGTCTGACAATACCACGCGGGCCACTCGCGCGCATCAACCGCGCGCGCATGTCGAACTCCTCCAAAGACCTTCGTCACCAGCGCGGACACATTGTCATCGCGATCGGCGGGCGTGATCAACATAGGCGCCGTCTGCGGTCTCGCCGTCGTCATCGCCACCATCGCCACCATCATCGCTACTCGCATCATCGCGTGCACCGTTGTCGGCGTCGCCATGATACCGCGCCCGCCCAAGTCACCGATTCGCACTGAAGTACTCGCTAGCAAAGGCCCAGCGGTCAGCGCCACTGCGGCCGCGTCGGTCGCGCCGCCCCAGCTGGCCGCTGCGCGCGAGAGCATGCGCGGGCTAGCGCGACCGCGGAGATGCACCAGCCAACGCTAAGCACTCATTGCAATCGCCGTCACCTGGGTTTTGTAAACCAAATTGCGGGCGGGGAGGGGATGATTGCGCGAGCGGCGGGGCTCACGACTTACTGCGAGAATTGTTAAGTTGCACAACATATATTATCCGCTCTAGAAGTGTAGCAGGACCCCCCCCCAATTTATCCCCCTTGTGGGCATGTGCAATTTACATGCGATTCTGGCCCATAGCCCATCCGAAAAAAAAACCATATCACCCCAGCTCAACCGGCACCTCCTGCCCTTTTCATCCTCGGCAGAATTACTATGCGAGCGCACTTGATTATCGAAAATTATCCGTCATCCAAATATCTTCGCCACAGAACAAAACGAAATGCACGCGCGCGCGTCGTGGCGCGCGCACGCCGAAATCTTTTTCCCTAAAAACCCTTAGTTCCGTAAGGATTTCAAAACCGAGCGCCCCGAAAACAAATAGAATACATTGTTTGTTTCGCAACAAGGGCGTTCAAAAAAAGCCTGCGATCGTGCTCTCGCAAATTCTTACGAAAACCACATGGTTCTCAACGTGTCCCCAAAATCCCACCAAACGGGCCACTTGCGCGCGCACGTCGCACTCGTTCGAACCCCCTCGCTCGCGCGCGCTATCCCAAGAACCGTCGAAAAATGGCACGAACTGCAAGCGGGCGGGTCGTCGCGCGCGCATGCCGACACATTTCAAAGTCTTTCGGTTCCG